GCCTAATGCCTTGAGCATCTCAGGGCGGATTTCGTCAATTCCGGCAGCTTTTCCATTTTTCAAGCTTTTTTTTAATTTTGGTTTAAATGATTTTGTAATTTTGGTTTAAATTAGTTTTGAGACCTTGGGATCTTGGGTTGCTCCCAACGACTAGATGTTAGATACGCTGCACATTTAGCCTATGTTCATAAACGCTTAAGAAGCTGTACGTAGGCGATATACGAACTCGTTCCTGTGAGATCTGTAATATTCATATGAATATTATGGTTAAAGATAACCTCTCTGATACTATACTAGAGGAGAGGACAGAGGAGGAAGAAGAGCCGCCTGAAGAGAGGTTGGGCATGGAACTCCCCGGCCCTGCCAATGACCCCTATCAAGTGATTTGAAGGGCAGTACTTTATAAATATGTACATCTGTATGTCAGTGTACGTTTTGTACAAGGTATTTTTTCAGTATTTTCATGACCTGCTATTCCGTTCGAATCCAAGTGCGAATGGTTGACAAAATTTCAGGTGTTCTATATAATCCAGCAATATTATTTAATGCATAAGGTTGAATTATTTTTTCAGTAGTTTTTTAAATGAAAAACGTTATAATGTTCATTGTTGTCTTTGAGTTATGGGCTAGGGCTGTGGAATTCCGTCACGATCGATTGTGGGACTTAATTGCTTATGCTAACTGCTATCCGCGATTTGAAGGAAGTTAGTGCTTTTGATCGTATCTTGTTTATCATCATTCCCCAAGATATTGCGATAAAAGATGCCAACGTTTTCGCCCTCTTGTCTTAACGATTTAATTTCAGTGCAACTATCTGCATCATATCAATAATTTATGAAACTTACTTAATTTAAATCGATTCCTCGATTGTGTCAGATGTATAGGGGAAATTGCATCGGCTGTTCCGTAGCACTGCCATTCCTCTTTATTTCTAGGGGGATTATTTAAGCAGTTCACGGCTCGATGGTATTTAAGTGCCTGCATTCCATGAGTCGCGCTGCAACACTGAGTGTGAGCACGCCGTTGTGGCAGAAGCAAAATCGTCTGAAATAAAAACAGTCTATATCATTTATTTCCATCAATTTTGGTAGCGATGATTCATGATATGAGAATGATTCGTGGTATGATGAATATGTAAAGTATATGTTGTTCAACCGAACTTGGATCATTTGTGCATTATGTTAATACTGAATACTTGTTTCTATTTTCTTCGCCTTTTCCTACTCTTGCGCAGTTATTCTGTATTGATAAATTTTGGTTTTGGTTTTGCTTACCTTTCATTCAATGTAATTTCGAAGTGAGCCAGTTGAGACGGATAGTACCTCACAAGATTGTGCAATGGCGTTCTGTGTGCCAGTGATCATTGCTTTTGAATCCCATTTTTGATCTGAAAGATCTCGTGAAATTGTTTAACCGTGTTTGCATTTGCTTATTAATTAATCTTTCCGTACTTTCAGATCTATTGCCAGAAACGCGAATATTACCAGAGAAAAGTTAGTCAGTTTCGCGAAAACCCAGACGGTGCTGATGCTGCCTGATGAGAGGGAATACAAACTTGCAAAGACAATTTTGAAGTGGAACGATGTTCTGCTGTCCGTTCTTGAAGCGTTTTATGTCCATTACCTATGTGACTACCTCTACCAGCTAGCTTGCACTTTCACTGAGTTCTATGACGGTTGCTACTGCATAGAGAGGAACTCATCTGGTGACATAGTGAACATTCGTATGGAACGCATGGTTTTGTGTGAAATGACCGCCGATGTGTTGGCAGTTGGCTTGGGTATCTTAGGCATAAGAACTATTGAAAAGATGTAGTGGTAATACCCCTGATCTAGCCATGTCATTTGCTGCGTTGGAATTTGTTAACGCTTTTGGTTACTGTGCTAATTAAAACGTTCCTTGACAGATCCGTGTAGGTGCTAACGACGATAGTCACTTCCTGATCGCGATGCCGACTGCTGCTTGTTGGATACTGGGTACAGTTTGACATCTCAGTAAGTTTCCATATGTGTAGCTATTTTGCAGATTTACAATTTGGAGCTCGAGCAAAAATGGGTTTAGTTTTGTGCCCTCAAGTATGAATTTACGAAACAGCTAGTTCTAAAACAGCTTTGAATCAAGTTGCATTAATTTCCATATCGATTCTTCAGCGTGAGTTTTCAGCTGTGACGTCCTTCAGCTGGTCGCCTTTACTGCCCCAGTTCATTGTTGGCTACACAGTAGGGCTTGCCCGTCTTTTCTT